TTCTTACTTTATTAAAGTGGCAAGGATGACATGTGGATTCAAATTATCTTGAAATTTGATATGTACTTACGGGTGGAGAACAAGGTCTGGAAGTTCAGAAAGGTACTTGAGCAGGAGTTTTCTTGCTCAAAAATGCAGATCCCTTGAGTTTATATGTTGGGGTTTTTTTAATATGGGTAGGAGTAATGTGTATATACAGCTGCCTATTTTTTCCCTTTTCTTTGTCCATCCTTGAGATTCCAATTATTGTTTTGACCTTCCTGAAACTGATTTTATTCACTCAGAATCTGTCCAATCCATAAAAGGAAAGAGTATGTAAAAAAAGTTCTAGACATACAGTGGACTTGTCCAAATAGTGTGTAATTAGTAGGGAAATAGTTATGTGCAGTATGACAAAGACCTTCATGTCAACTACATCACATATATTGGGTAATAGTGTAATTTAGCGTGATGTGCTATAGCTATCGAACTTGAACTAATAGATAAGTGCTGTAAATTAAGTCCTATATTTGGTAGTTTTTAGTGCTTGAATTCTCATTTCAGAGACTCCCTGTGCTTGTATCTCTGCTGATTGCTGTGGCCAGGGTGAATACAATATATAAAATGATCTCTGATCATATTAAGTAAATAGAGAAAATGAGTTGATAAAAAGCAAATACTTTTCTGGGACTCTCATGTTCCTTAACTTTTCATTGCCTTTTTTACAGAGGTTTCAGTATAGTTGAATTTGACATTTGGAAAGGCCACAAAATGCTTCTAGGCAACCTTATCTCCTCATTGCTAAAGTTTTGTGAAAATTAATATTTATTGGATGTGCCACAAATTGTTGTTTATTCTGTCTGAGCATCTTGCACCTCTGGGCACTATGCATGTATAAATGGAGACTATGGCAATGTGTTCTTGGAAGCAGGTTAAATGAGTTAGTATTTTTTATTTTTGCCATTATATAAGAAAAAATTTCTATTCACTAAATACTCTTTGTGTCAAATTGTAAGTCTGATTGTTGTATGAAATGCTTATTTGTTTTCTAGATAGTTTTAGGGAAGGTTGATTTGCTTTGCTGAGTTACCTTTCACTTAAAATGAATTATCAAACAAGTCTCCAAACAAATGAAATAAAAACCCAGAAACCCCACTATTTTGTAGACTGCCAGGGATATATCCATGTGTACAGCCTTTACCCTGCATGAGGAGACCTCTGTCTCTCTAAGACTGTGCAGAATTATTATTTACATTTTGAAGTTTCCTGAGGCTACTAAATAGTGCTCTTTCAATTTAGATGGGGGAGGTCAGTTTGTTTTCTTGGTTTTACTGATATTAGAGGTAATGACACTGCTGACAACATTTGCTATTATTAGTAATATATATTGAACATCTAATAAAGTACTTGCAAATTATAATTATTTAACACAATTGAGATTTGCATTTAGTTTCATGTATAATCATGATCTGTAATTCTTCTAAGAATATAATAGTTGAATACTTCTGTACAATGTTTCAAGATTAATGCTGCCCTCAATCTTGAGCCTTTTTAATTCTACTCTTGTTTACAGTAATTAAATATACTAAAGCTATTTTCGTTTTCTCTTTTTTAAACTCTTTGCATTTAGCAATGTAGCAAGAAAGCATCAGCTTCCTTGCTATGGATCCTGAAATCATCTGGAATAATTGCAAACCGTCCTTGGCCACGGATCACTCTTACATTGACAACCACTGCTATAATATTAACTATGGCTGTATTCAACATGGTAAGGGGAAAAGGGGTAATTTTTCTTGTTTTTTTGTTCTTTTAAGATCTTTTGTTGCTGTTGTTGTTGATTAGTTGTTTAGATGTTGAATTTATGGCTCATGGCTATGCCATGAACCTACATGATAATGATCACCAGAGACAGAAATGTAAAGCAGAGCAACAGAAAACATACTGTATAATGGGAGCTTCTGCAAACAGGATGCTCAGCAAGAGCTTGGATCTTGGCTAAGTTTATTTAAAAAAAAGTAATTTATAAGGAATAGAAAGATAGTTAAATCCCAGGTTTAAATTGTTCGAATTCCTTGCTCATCTATGCATTGCTTAGAAAAACAGAGTATTGCTCAAAGAATGAGGAATCTCCTCACAGGATGTGTGGAAGACTTTGTGCAAAATAAACTAAGCTTTATTCAGATTTGTGATGCTCCTCTGCTGATCACAAAATGATCATAATGTATACATTATTGAATTTCATGTGCTTGTCTTTGTTTTTTGAAAAAGGAAAAAAAAAATCAAAGTCACAAAGTACTTCAAAACTACTGAACTACAAATTGTTAGGGCTTACCTCTACTCTAGGCATTTCAACCTGTGCTTTTCTTTTCTCTCCTAATAGGGAAAATCCATGTAATTCTATTATTCTTTTGTAACGACAGCAAATACAGAATCGATCTGCCATTAGTCTGCATAAAGCCTTAATGTCCTCGTTTATTCTGAAGGATGTGTTGTCAAATGGGATGAGCAGTACATGGGATCAAAAAAACCTTTTTTTGCCCTATGGACTGAACTTGATTCATTTATTCGTAAACTTGCAAAAGTGTTCCAGCTCAGTTCTGTGTCTACCAAATGAGAACTAATATTTATTTAGGTAATGTTTTCATTACAACATTAATGCATAGATATTAGTCACATTTCAAGTGAGTGAGATTTGCAGTTCAGTTCTTTTGAAATTGCAACTCTAGCGCTTCCTTGAGCTGCTGATACTTTTGTTACTTGAGGTTCATAAAAGACTTTAAGATTGATAATACCTACACTGCCTTATTTTGTTTTCCCACAACATTCAGGGGACCCTTAGTCAATCACTTGTTACAGTAAGTACTAAACTTGTCAGAATGATGCAGTGATGCAATGTCGGCTTTTTAATGTGAAAACTAGAAATTGCTGGTAGAACCTTCTCTCAATTTTTTCTATTAAATGATCCTAGTCTTCTTTTTGTTGGTTTTCTTTTCAGGAAAGTAGATATCTTCCTTTCTTTCTCCTGCTTTTTCTAAGGAGAGGAGTGTGGTGGGTTGACCCTGGCTGGTGACCAGGTGCCCACCAGAGCCACTCTATCACTCCCCCTCCTTAACTAGACAGAGGAGAAAAGGTATAACAAAAAGCTTGTGGGTTGAGATAAGGACAGGCAGAGATCACTCACTAATTATCATCATGAGCAAAACAGACTGAATTTAAAGAAAAAAACATCTAATTTTTTACCAAGCAAAACAAAGTAGAGTAATGAGAAATAAAATCAAATCTTAAAACACCTCCCCCACCCCTCCCATCTTCCCGGGCTTAACTTTACTCCCACTTTCAACCTACTTCCCCCTCAGCAGCACAGGGGGACGGGGAATGGGGGTTACAGTCAGTTCATCACACGGTGTTTCTGCCGCTTCTTCATCCTCAGAGGGAGGACTCCTCACACTCTTCCCCTGCTCCAGCATGTAGTCCCTCTCACGGGAGACAGTCCTTCACGAACTTCTCCAACATGAGTCTCTCCCACAGGCTACAGTCCTTCACGAACTGCTCCAGCGTGGGTCTCTCCCACGGGGTGCAGACCTTCAGGAGCAAACTGCTCCAGCGTGGGGTCCCCCAAGGGGTCACAAGTCCTGCCAGCAAACCTGCTCCGGCGTGGGCTCCTCTCTCCACGGATCCACAGGTCCTGCCAGGAGCCTGGTCCAGCGTGGGCTTCCCATAGGGTCACAGCTTCCTTCAGGTGCCTCCACGTGCTCCAGCGTGGGGTCCTCCACAGGCTACAGGTGGAAACGCTACACCCCTTCATCCCTCCTCCATGGGCTGCAGGGGGACAGCGTGTCTTGCCAGGAGCCTGGTCCAGCGTGGGCTTCCCATAGGGTCACAGCTTCCTTCAGGTGCCTCCACGTGCTCCAGCGTGGGGTCCTCCACAGGCTACAGGTGGAAACGCTACACCCCTTCATCCCTCCTCCATGGGCTGCAGGGGGACAGCGTGTCTTACCATGGTCTTCACCATGGGCTGCAAGGGGATCTCTGCTCCCGGCCCCTGGAGCACCTCCTCCCCCTCCTTCTGCACTGACCTTGGTGTCTGCAGAGTTTCTTACATCTTCTCACTCCTCTCTCTGGCTGCAAAAGCTCCCTCTAACTTGTTTTTTTTCCCTTCTTAACTATGTTATCACAGAGGCGCTGATTGGCTTGGCCTTGGCCAGCGGTGGGTCCATCTTGGAGCCGGCTGGCATTGCTGGTAGCCGTCTGGCATTGGCTCTGTCAGACACAGGGGAAGCTTCTAGCAGCTTCTCACAGAAGACACCCCTGTAGCTCTCCCCGCAACCAAAACCTTGCCATGCAAACCCAGTACAAGGAGATAGACTCAAAACCAATTCCATCGTCATAAATTTAAAATACAGCTAATTGAATTTGGTATTTAAGGCTGGTAGAGGAAAAACTCAAACAGTGGCTGGAAAATGAGAAAATAAGCTCACTTTTTAGCAGTGATGGCAGTTAGCAGTGGGAACAAATTATTCTGAAAAGTTGTTGATTCTTCATCACTTCTCGTCCTCAGCTGAATACTAACTATATGCTTTTATGAATGATAACCTTTAGCCAAGCAGAAGTTATTTGGCATACTACAGGACAAAACAAAGAGATGGAGTAGCTTGTAAAATGTAGGTCAGATTAGACTTTCTCTTATTTTGAACTCTATAAATGTATAAGAAGAAATGAAATAACCTACTTGGGTTTAAAGTATAATTTGAGCTAGAGTTCATGCAACCATGCGGTTATTTATTACGTTAAAAAATATAAAAGAAGATATGGCCAGCAACTATTTTTTCCTTAAACTGAAGTTCTAGTATTGTGTGCAGGCCACTTCAGATTTGGCCTTTAACTAGTAAAAGGCATTTTAGCAAAAAAGGAGTTGTTCAGTACATCATTTTTAGAAAAAGTTTTTAATTTTATTGGTTCAAGTCCATTTTTATGTGGACTGAATGTTACAGTAAAACTTAATAGGCTGTATTTTAAAGTCTTTGTGCCTTATCAGTAATGACTGCAGTATTACAAATAATCATGTTCCATGATATTCATGAGATGATAATTTTAAGTACAATTCCCACCTTGAAACTAAACCTTAATAGTTTGACTAGCGAAAATGACTTTAAATGTGATTGTGAAATTTGCATTTCCTTAATATTAATAGCAAATTGTGGGAGAGACTCTGAAGTATCATTATTATATCTCCAAGCAACATGTACTTAATAGCAGAGTCCATTAACTGCATTTATTTCCATGAACTCTTTCAGTAGAAAAAGACAAAATGTAGCCATTAAGATTTAATGGAGATAAAAAGCGTCTAACCATCCCACACCTAATAAATCATAATTAAGACCAAAATGTCAAATAAAACTCAGTCTTTATGGTCAAGGGACATTAGAAAAGAGTGGGGGTGCAATTTTATTTCAGATTAGCTGCTTCAGCAGACATCTGAACCTCGTCTTCACATTTGAGAGGTACGTAGTCATGATCAGTGGAGGTAAGTTAAAAAATTGTCAATGTGACATAAGTATCAAATACTTCTTAGCTGAAGGGAGAGGGTGACTAATGCTGGTTCCATTGAGCATTAGATCTGGTGTCATATATAGAGTAGGGCAGCAATGAATGGCTGAGGAAGACTGTTTTTACAAAGCTGACCTGCATTAAGCAGAACATGAGAAAGTATATTGCAGGGAGCAATCCAGACATCTCAGAGAGACAGTAGGACTGCATGACTGCAAAGGGTCAACTGTGGGAAGCTAATATTGAATATTATTCATATTCATATTATTGAATATGAATGACTGTATGTGATACATCAAATGATTGTGCCTCACCATCCTCTGGGATTCGTGTGATCTCAGTGACAGTGGCATGATGAAAGAGCCCTGGAAGAGCTCTTTGTTTCAGTGACTTCTGCATCAAATGCACGAATGGTCCTTGGCACACCAACAGGATCTCAGGGCTATACTGTCCCAGGAAGGTGCCCTGACTAACAGCTTTCAGAGTCAGGGTGTTACTTGCTTCCTTGTCTTTTGTCCAGTGAATTTCAAACAACTGGAATATTTCCTTTGAAAGAACAGGTCTTTAGAAATGTGAAGACCTATATTGTTCTCCCTCTAGTCATGGCTGATATCTCGTATTTTAATAATGACAAATAATTAAGCAAACCTGCTTCCATTCTCATAGTAGAAAGCTGGTTTATTTAATATGCCTTCCTTTTAGTGCAGCTGTGTTAATACATTTGCTGACCCTGCTCAGAGCTTTATTTTTAACAGGCAAGCTCTCTGGCAGATACTCTTTAAGTATATTTCCCTAGAGTAACTAGCACATTGAAGACCCTATTTTGGAAATGCTTCATGCATGTCTTTTAAGAAGAATAAACTGACACTGCCTAGAGCTTGACCTGGCCTAGGACTTGGAAGGAGAAAGGGGAATGCACAGCTGCAGTCATGTCATTTAAGTGGTACATGCAGGGCCCCATCACAAATCCATTCCAGATTAGAATTTAAGAAATTCAGTAAAATCAGTATCAGTCTACGTACATTGGACTAGCAGAGATGCACTAGCAGGTGAGTTAGCAAGCAGTTGGCATGAACTGTCCTGAAATAATGTTTACAGCAGTTCTGGTGTCTTTCAAGTGTGTGGGCAGAGAGAGAGTCCTGCTATCACATGATTGTTTGCTCCACAGTGCAGCAAGATGAACCCACATAAGTGAACAACAATCCATATCTGTCAAAGACC